TGTTAAACGCTACAAAAACATGGAAATCTGACTTCCAGTCACATATGGCTGCCCATTGACTGTTACATTGTTTTACCATAACATTAATTACAAGTCCACTACATTGCTCTCAAAAGGCTTGTTTTTATACTTGTTGAATAAAGTACATTACGCCAAAACTGGCTCTTGAAACGAGACCAAGTGCACAGGACGTACGTTGTACTAATGCATGTTTTATATTTGTAGGCAGTGCACGACCCATTACCTATTGGAAGCATACATACATACGCTAATCACATATCACTTCAAGTTTTTAACCTTGCACATTCTTTGCTGCTGTTGTGATCACGTTTTAGGAATTTGGTAATGTTGATGTAGTGATTTTTGCTGTCCAAGGCACTGGCTGTACAAGTCACATTGGTAAGGATTTAGACTGTAAAGTAGTAAAATATAATCCAGATGTGTAGAAAAGGTGTATGGATCCCTTGGTATGCATGTACGTACATACCTTCAACATGCCCCAAGACTGCACTTTTCTCAGTATTTCGAAGGAGATAAGTTTCCCAGATAGTAGACCATCTGCCAGCAACATTCCAAGGCCTGACTAAAATGACAGAGTTTTCCTTTGAAGTTCCACCGACAGAGGTGGCAGAGGAGGAAATGAGCCTCCGAGTCTCCCATGTCTGACCCCCCTCCTCCCTATCCCCCACACAGCACCTCCCCACACCAAACACCTCATCACCCCCCAACACATCACCTCCCCACACCAAACACCTCATCACCCCCCAACACAGCACCTCCCCACACCAAACACCTCATCACCCCCACACACCACCTCCCCACACCAAACACCTCATCACCCCCACACAGCACCTCCCCACACCAAACACCTCATCGACCCCCACACAGCACCTCCCCACACATCACACTCTCAAACTCACAACTGCCACCTATGAAAGCTACTGAGGTGTTGTGTTAGAACGAAAGCTAGTAACATTTGAGTCGGTTGCTCATCTACAGATTATGTATTGGGAACTGGATAGGCAAATTAACCCGAATTATGTAAGGTAATTTTGTTAGCCGTTGATCATTTGCCAATCTTAGTAGGCCACATCCATCCTCTACCCAAGTCTCTAACTTTGTGGATGGAACCATTAATACAACATTAAGTGCATATGCTACAGGTACACGTATGCCTTGCTCTGTTTTCCCAAGGTTGACTTGATTAATTGTTGGCACACTTGTACTATTATGCAGTACTCTACCAGTAAAGATGATGGATCTGAACGGCTAGAATTCCTCAGCCTTCGTGGCTCCAACTTTTCGTCCTTGGTCTTGTTACTGCCACTCACTGAAGTGGCAAAGTAGCCACGTGAGAGGAGGAATGCATGGAATTAGTGTGTTAAAACATTGGCAGCTGAGTGTCTAAAACTTCGTTAATCTGGTGTTTTAGGCTTACCGTGAGTTCATTGGCCGCCCGTTTGTGTTAGGAACCTCACTCTCTCCTTTTATACCTTTGCACTAGGCAGGGTATGTAACACGAGCTGCTCATTAAAGGGGAGTGGTTTATAGGTGTTGTTTTGTTTGAGCTCCTGAGACACTAAGCTAGCATTGGAGGAAGAGGTGGATTGATAAAGTTAAGCAGTATAGACAGTAAATAATTTCTCTTACCACGCACGTTCAACCAGCCTACTATGTTTGAGAATGAATGTCAGATGATGTCGTCAAATGCACCTGCTTGATAAATTGGAAAAAGAAGAGGTGGATTACTGTATAGTTTAAGCAGTAGACAGTAAATAATAGTCTCTCCCACACACGTTCAACCAGCTACATAAGTTTGATAATGCCTGTCAGGAGAATTGTAAAATGAAGTTGTGAAATGCACCTGCTTTCTAAATTGTAAAGGCCAGGTTTAATAAGTCTGGGAATGCATGGCTAGAGAAACCTTTGTTGCTATGTGAAGCATAATTGGCTTAAAGAGTTTGCAAAATCCTACCCATCCATACAGACGAACAAAGTGCCTCCTCAGGGTATGTATGTATGTACCCCACCTCTATATAATTGAACAGTGTCTGGTCGAGTGTCCCACTCTAAAGAAGTTGGTAATTGAAATCCACTAATACTTGGCAGGGGACGGGTTAAAAACTAGCCATGCCACTGCCCTTCACCACACTGTGCCATGTAAGAACTTTCGGTCCTCCTGGGTTTGTTCCCTTGCCTTCCCTGCTAATGTGATTACCACTGCATACACTGAGGTGTTAGACAGTCTGGTGCGTAGCACGGCGGCATGCCCACGCTGCACTTGGCACTGCTCGTGGCCAGCTGGGCCAGGTGTTATTGTGGCGACACTCTTGTCCAATTTCTTATCGAGTTGTCCGCCTTATTACGGAGTTGTGTTCCTAATTGGTCCTCCCCTTTCCGTTTCTGTACACAGACGGAGACTACGCACTTACGTAGCTGTATAGTGTACACTGGTAATTTTGTATGTTGCTGATTTTATTGGTCAGGTATCACTAAATTTGGTGCAAATAGTTGCGTGTATCGTTCATGACTCCTCAACTGTACCAATTTGGCAGACATTTACAGTATCTCGTACACTATGTATGTACGTACACATACTGGTTGGAGTCACCAATAGACGATTTACATGTATTCCTGTTCTCTCTACTGTTTGACCAGTGACTCCTCCACCTCGCTATAACGTCTGACTAACGAAGAGAGCCAACTGGTGGTACATGGACTGCGGGGGTGTTTGTGTACAGTGTGACACTGAGTAATGATAAATAGCCGTAAATGTTACTGTCTTAGGTTGGGTTCATGTTTCGTGCCGTGGAGATCATAGAAATTGATGCGACGCAGCAAAGCGGTAAGGCGTGAAACGTGGCAATGCAAAGCATTGTGAACTTAGCCTAAAGTCTTGGTCCTTGGATAGACTACTGCATCCTTAGTTCATTAGCAAGCGAGGAAGCCTATAAGTTTTCAAATGAGCCATATATAGCATGAACACTCTGCCACACTTTACAAAAACATTGTGTACAGTTTTTAAAGCTTTTTATCTGTAGCTAGCCTTACTTTGCTCAACCTGTAGCTGTTGCTTTCTCTGGGTGCATGCACATTATACAGTAGTACTCTTATTTAAAGGTTTGGGAATTAGTCATGTTCCATGTGCTATGTGGCAGATATCAAACGTGTTCTCGGGTGTTTATATTTTATTGACTGGTTCAAAACTAACTCTTGTAAGCAAACATAACCTTGGTCTTAGAATCTCTACTGCATCATCTTATCTTTATCCATGAAAGAAACTTTCTTTGGGAGCCAAAGTTGGCCCTCCTAGTGACGGAGGTTTGCATATCCCTTCATTGTATGTAGTTAGAAATTTGTTGAAGAGTTGTGGGGGCTGCAGGTCAGACATTATCTACTGAGGATAGGCCCTGTAGTATATGTAACTGCGCGGGGGTTGTATGGGGATGTGTGTGTCTGCATCATGTTTTGATAATTGATACTAACCAACACTCCTCCATGCTCTCTTCATCCACATACTGTACTATGACGTCATGAACGCCTGTGGGTAAATTTCAGGTAACATGAAGAAAGAGAGCCTGGTGACAAGGATAAATGGACTTGTAGTGATAGAGCGGTCCCATGTATGTATGCTGTATACTGTCTTGCTCACCAGGAATTTCCTATCAATTGTAAAATTCCTCCATGTGATTGTTATCAAACCCCAATTTAGAAATTCCCTTACAGTGAGAAACAAAATTGTGTTTGGTTATATAATAGTGTAGTACGTAGATACAATCAGACAGATGTTTGCAGCTCTCCAGTCACAGGTTACACATGTATGTAGTATTTACCTGGTGTGCTCAGAACTTGTGCTTGAATACACAACTACTATCCTTTGTAATTACTGAGAACTATACATTTCTTGAAGTGTTGATCATTGTGGGGTGAGTGTACATATATGGGTGTGCAAATTGAAGTGACATTTAGAGGACTTGTGAGTAAGATAAGCTGAATCAAGGAGCTCAGATTACTGATAATAAACACCATGTCACATCCACACCTGTTCCACTGATCAGACTAGGGGTCAAGGGGTCAGTGTTGTAGTTTTGGTGCTCAGCATCTCATTAGTCCTGGCATTGAAGCTGCATTGTTGCAGATTTGATTATCGAAGGAATGGTTGATAATGGAGCAATCCAACCCTTATACATGTGAATGCAATTACAATATAGAGTAGGAGCAAGGTGGTGTCCCTGGGTTAAACCAACTGTATAGTACTACAGAAACATACAGAGTGAGAGTATGTATACGGTGACTTGCATAGTCGTTTGAGGTTTGCCTTTGTCTTGTGTTGAAGATTTGAACCACTACCAGATGAGTTGCCCTGGAACGTAGCTCAGTTGGTAGAGCGCTCGACTATAGAGAGCAGAGTGTGGTTGGTTGGTTGGAAATCCCACCTAGAGTAGCTCTTCTTTTTTTCTTTCATTTCCCCCTCTTCTCTTTCTCTTCCCTCTTTGTTATCACATACATACACACATATGAACTGATGTCTGTGTCTTGTCTTGTCTGTGTGATGTCTTGATGAATATCTCCCCTCCACTTTACACCGCTCCCAGACACCCTAACCTGTACCCCTCCCACCTGTGACACCCTGCATTTCCTCAGACACAATCTGTTACTGGGACTGTTAAACAACACTTCCTATTATGAGCGTTAACGAACGCCATACATACATATGTAGTAGATATTTGTGCATGGTGATGGGCTAGCATTGTGAAATCGCATCGAAGCATCAGTTATAATTATAAAGGTTGATTATCTAGCCGAACATGGTTCAGCTATAACGTTTTAGAGCAAGAAAGACAGGGGCTACTGCATGGTGTGGCCAATCACACACACACACGTACAGACACACACACACACACACAGACACACACACACTGAGCATATTGTTTAATCTTGGTTCGTTGTGATCCACATAATCCCCTCTCCTTGGTCCTTCTTCCTCTGTACGTGTACAGGTCAGTCACACAATGAGAAGAAGTAGCTGCCACTGAGAAACTCAAACATCCATCATGTCAGACGTAGCCATCTCCCTCCCTCCTCCCTCTGCCCCGAAACACTCCTCCTCCCCCTCCTCCCCCACCATCCCTGCCAGGCCACGCCCACCAATATCACCCATCACCAAGCCCCTCCCACCACCCGTCGTCACTGCTACCTCAAAAATATCAAAGTTAGTGCCATACGCCAGTGCTACGGCACAACTCTCACTTGTTAGCATTTTGATAACGAAAGTGCCACAGCTTATGTAAGCTGCAGTATATTATGTGGATAATCTTTTCGCCCACTGTGCGTTAGTAGCACAAGTGCCGCAGCCGGTAAGGCAGTGGATTAATTTAGAGCCACTACCCTTTGAAAAATAACCAAGCTTGTTCAAGCTTGTTCAGGCTTGGTTATATCTATTCAATTATCAAGCTTGAGCCAAGCTATACACAAGCTTGTCAGGCTGAAGGTGTATTTCCATGCCTTTAGTCATTAATTTAGAGCCACTAGGATTGTAAAAAGCACCTACACGTGTATGTACATATTCTTGTGAGGTACAAATATATTTCTGAATCTCTATAATGTCGAGAGTGCATGTAAACAGTAGAGCTACACGTATACTCTTACGTATGTATTTAGTGTCTAAAGTTTGATGGGGAGTTTAATACATCTAAGAGAGTGGGGAGAAGAGTTGCAAGTGTACAACTCTGCACCGATGAACTTGTTGTTCTCCCCACAGAGACAAGCAGAGGGTCCAGAAAGCCAGACAGAGGTTCTCTCCACCTGCCCTCCCTCCTCCCGCACCTCCACCCATCTCCCCCTCACCGCCTCCCTACAGCTCCATCTCCCCTCCCCCCTCCCCCCTCCACCCCACTGACTCCACCCACCAACGAACCCCTCCACCCCGGCCACCACCCCCTACCATTGCCCCGCCCTCTGCCCCTCCCCCTTCTATTGTCTCGGCCACACACCCTTCAGTCCACCAGCCCTCTGCTCCACCTCGTCCCCAGACTCCCGATTCTTTTCCTCTGACCTCACATTCCTCACATTCCTCGCCTAATGCCCCTCCCACTGCCCCTCCCCTAATCCAGTCAGTTCAATGTCAGACTCACATGTGTAAATATTATACCTCTATAAGCTCTATCTTTCCATCAACCACCCTATAGAAGAATTTTCAGTGGCATGCGCAGAGGGTTTGAGTCAATAAAACACCACTTGCTACGCTTTGCTGGATTTGTACATATATGTATACAGTAGCTCTCACACCATCTGTCCTTACTATCATACGTAGAATGCTGCACGATCATACATGTTTTGGGCAGGGTGTGACCCTATTATTGTATACTAAAGAGTGTTAGTGAGCCTTTACCGCTTACATGGGTAACATACTGTAAGTATTGGTGAAAGAACATAGAAACGTAGCGTTGTACGCGTAATATTGACACGAGAGGCGTAAATTTGTATGGCGAAATCGCCGTGCACTATTAGACCATGTAAACCAGTGACATATATAAGTGGGGCAGACCTGGGAACAAGGTGTACGTATTGAGTGTGTTTTGATTACAGGGACGTCGAGATGGTGGGAGTGAATGGGAGAGGAGAAGACGTGACAGGAGTTGCTGCTGGTGTTGAAGAGGAGAGAGAGGAGGGAGGGAGAGGAGGGGGAGGAGACGATGAGAGGGCACCAGTCAGTCAGGGAATACCTGCAAATCTTAATCTGGATGGTTAGTTGGTAGAAAGCATTATCTCAAAGTCCTTGTGGGACTAGGGCATCTTGCCTTCATGAATATCTTCCCTCCACTTGCACAGTCTAGCTATTAAATAGGAAATGCATGTTCATACTTACTTGTCCCCGCTACTGGAAGTAGCACCACAATGCAGATAATAGAGGAGAGAATTGACCAATACTTGACATAGGCAATTGCTATCTACACGAGGAACCTTGGAACATAAGCATTGCAAGTACTTGTTTGCGTAAAAATCCGAAACAGACCCAATAACAAACACTTACGTACAATTTACACCATTCTCTACTGAATGAGGTTGTACATAGAGGTCTGTGTGCACAGGTGAGAAGGGTGACAGTGGACCAGAGTATGTGAATGTGGAAAGTCTGGATGAGGAGGAGGAGGAGGAGGAGGAGGAAGAGGGAGAGGATGCGGAGGACGACGGCGGACAGGAAGAAGGGAATGTACGTATGTATGTATGTAAATATTTCATCCACAACATTTTTAGTGTGACGTAGAAATGTTCTGTCTAGTGCAGGTTAAAAGCTTAACCCTTTGGACGCCATGGGTATCTCCTTCAAATTGTTATGGACTTATGGAGGCTCTGAGCATATTATATATATACCCGTGGCTGGCTAAGGGTTAAAGTACTGATATATGTACCATTCATTCCCTAACTATGGTTATATGCACAGATTTCTTCACTTTAGTTAGCACTTCCCTCTGCCCCTCAATGTTCTTTATAATTACCACAGCTGTATGCTCATTCTATATACACTCATTCTGCACACAGACCAACCGGCGCTCTGTGGTACGTCAGAACTATCAGAACTGGGACTTTCCCAACCACTCAGCTGACTCGGAGGGATCCGACGATGGCAATAACCACACCCCTCGCCCCGCCCACCAACACCATCGTCACCGGCATCACAAGCCCACACAAAGCAACCCTCCCACCCTCCCCCTCAACACCCACCCAGTCCTAATGGGGAAAATGAGCGGGGGCGCCGTGGCTAAGGGGGGGAAACGAAGAAACCGGGCTCCTCCGCCTCCTCCTGGGGGAAAGAAGGGAGGTGGAAAGTTGGAAGGAGGCAGGGAAGAAGGGAGGGAGAGGGGGAGAAGAGGGAGGGAGGAGGGGAGGGAGAGGAGGGAGGGGGAGAAGGAGAGGAGGGAGGAGGTGAAGGGGGAGAGTGAGGGGGGAAAGGAAGGGAGACAGGACAAGGAGAGGAGGGGAGAGAGGGGAGAGTAGCAGGGGAAGAAGATGGAGATACAAGAGCAGAAGAAGGAGGAGAAGTGCGTGTTTGTAATGTGCACCAAAACACGACAGAACTCTTTCCTTTTGAATCAATTGACTCTATGGCTACACCAAATAGAATCAGACCTTAACACATAACCTGATTTTTCCTGTGGGCATTGTAAGGCATATCTTTGATTTTAGACTATACAAAAGCAACTCATGTTTGTCTAAGCTTTAGGCATGCAGTGGAACCTCTTAAAAAGGGCCCAGTATACCTCTCTTATGCATGGTATATACTTGATTGTGCCCGACTTAGTAATGTACAATGGCGTAAGTGCTGGCACACAGACAGCTTTCCTCACTGGGTTATCTCAGATTAGTTAAGTGACACTTGCAATGTCCCTGAAGTGTTCTTTATTCGTTTTTCCAAGTATGTACCCGGTGCCCTGCAGCCATTTTGCTCATAATTCAGTTCGCACCTCGACATTTCAGTCTGGGGAAGGTCTCGCGTACGTACGTATGTCCGTCATGTATGCATTGTTCCACCCACACAGCACGACTACTCCACCATCCTGAGGTCAGACTACATCAACTGGGAGTACGAACAAGGCAGTGGCTCAGACTCTGACGACACATCTGCCGTGCCGGGCCCGAGACCGCACACGGCTAGACCCTCCAACCCTCCCACTCTCCCTCTCAACACACACCCTGTCCTCATGCGCTCCCACAGCCAAGGAGACGTCATTGACTCCAACGATGAGTCGGGGAAGAAGCCTCGGAATCGAGCGCCTCCTCCGCCACCTTCAAAGACCAAGAGCAAACCTCCACGTGGCTTTGCTCACCAGCTATCTCACCAGCCCTTCTCTGTCCCTCCTCCTCCTTCTTCTTCATCACAATCTCATACTCAGAGCAGTGGTAACCAGGGCGGGGAGTACGCGCGAGTCACCAAACCACCTCCAGCGTACAAGAGGACTAAATCCGACCAGAAGCCGGGAGAAGATGGCGACAAAGGAACAGGGTCACCCCGCGAGAGAGATAGAGTGCCAAAGTCCTCTATAATTGGAGGGGCATCCTCGTCTTCGCCATACCAGTCTCCTGTAGCTTCTCGTAAGCACGGGGAGGCCCCAGTTCATCTGGATGTCCGCGCAGGAGGAGGAGGAGGGAAGAGCTCTGGATATGGCTCTGGTGGTGAAGGTGTGACGAGGGGAGGAGGGAGGGTGGGGGAGGGGGTAGCCCCTCCATCAAGACCGCCACCGAGGGCACCGAGTGTTGCAGTTCTCGCTGCGGCAGGGAAGAGGAAGAGATGGTCGGCTGCAGAGGTAGAGGGAGAGAGGAGAGGGAGGGAGGAGTCTCCATTACTGGTGAGTAGGGTGAGTGTGGCTGGTGAGTAGGGTGAGCGTGGCTGGTGAGTAGGGTGAGCAGGATGACAGAGTGATAGAAGAATGGACAGGGAAGACAAGGAGGGGAGAACAGAGAGCAGGCTTAGCCTATGTAAACAAAGTTTTTACCACAGCGGTTTCACATCTTAATCAGCATAATAAAATAGACTAAAATGTCTGCATTTTCAAACAATGTTCTTTGCATCTGCAACTTTAGCGATACTAGTCATCCCCAGAACTACATGTACACATGCTGGTGCATACACTATACACGCAAAACATCAGGCAACGCCCACGTTTTTGCATCCGTAGTATATATATATCGAATATTTTTGTCTGTAAGTGTTCTGTTGTGTGATGAGGTTTGGATATGAACTCTACTATATAACGTCTAGGGGGTGTGGTGTTTGGCTGTGGGGCACGTGGAGCTGGCATATCACCTCGTGCTTTTGGTCATGATAAGCATTACCTTTCCCTTACGTGGTGTAATGAGGATTGGTTGTTTATGCTGGATCGCTCATTAGTCTGTGGACCAGTGGGATTTCAGCTGTTGTGTAACCTGTTGTGTAACAGCTCGTTATGTACATAGCATTTGTCCTTCACTCAGTCTTCTCCTTTTCTTCCCCATCTCTATCAAAGTTCTTGTTTTTTCATAACCACCATTTTTCATGCCCACCCTTCCTTTATTCCTTCATTCCTTCATTCCTTCTTCTCTGCCCTTCTCTGCTTTCTCCTTTCCTTCTATCTTCTCTCCCCCCATCTCCTACTCTGTTCTTTCCTCCATCTTCCATCTACTCCCTCCCTCCTCCCTCTCTCCTCCGTCCACCCTCTCTCCCTCCCCCCTCCCCCTTACTCCCAACCCCCTCCCTCTCCCCCTCTACCAGGCTAATCTGAAGAGGAAGGAGTCGAGCGGTGTACCAGAGCACCTCTCCCGGCCCAAGAGACAAGCTCCGCCTCCTCCGGTCGGTAAAGGGACCGCTGTGGACCAGTCCCAGGACCAGAGTGAGCGGGAGTCTCCTCAGGGTGCAGAGGTCAGTACTATTGATTTCTGAATGAGACATAATGATAACTACAGAGCTCTGGAGACCACATACTATCTCGCACGGTATTGTGTACTATTGATCGCATGCACACACATTGATTAATAGGCGTGGCCAAATTACCCGACTTTTTTAGCTGGATTTCTAGCCGCTGTTGTCTGTGTCATTGATTTCAAGGTGGAAGCAAGTGCCTGCAGCTATGATTCTGGATAAGTGAAATAGTTTACGAATGTTAAAGGAATGTGGCAGTATAAAAGGGTATAAAGTGCGACTTTTCGTCTGGCAGTATAAAAGGGCTAAAATTTAGAAAAACAACCCTATTGTTTAGTTCACATCTAGAGTAGCATTTCGTATGTATGTACTAACACAACATGTCTATTATATCATGTTATGTATCTTCATCAGGCCCCTAGTGAGAGACCAGGGAGTGACATAAAGACAGGGAACCACCTCCAGACTCCGCCCCCGAAGCCAAAGAGATTGCACAGACGGACTCCGCCCATTCCCTCTGATACCGTAGCCTTAGCAACAGAAGCCACACCCACCACCCAGGAGAGCACAGAGACCGAGGGGAGGTCACAGGTCAGAAGCCACGCCCCTAAATAGCTGCATAACAGTAAAATTTCGCGGGCATTGGAAGTAAAGTATGATCGTAGAATCACCTAGTTTATCACTCGTGGAGGATAACTCTCCCCCTCCCACACCTAGTACATAATAATACCACTTTGAAAAAACAAACTTGGAGCATCAGGAGTGGTGTAATTTATCAATGCATCTGTAAGGAATGTAGGCAAACATAGAAGTGCGACTTTTGGACGACCTTATACATGTGTCGTAGGTACATACCACTTGATAAGAATGCTATAGAGTGTATGTATGTAGTACATGTAAGTCAATGTCCCTCTTTGCTCGTGAGCTGCCATTGTTGTACAATGTAACATGTTTATGCAACTACACATAATCACATAACCGTGTATTGTCATCCTAACATCTACACATGCAAACGTGCGTACACAATTATAACTTGACACTGGGGACAACAATACTGCCTACATGTACATACTATCATGTACACCTCTATGGGTCAGTGTATTACAGTTCCTCTGTAGATCCATGTATGGTAGTAAAGTAACAGGTTGTACCTGGCATGCAAGTACAGGTCTTCCTTCCTCTCCACCATTCCTCGGCCTTTGTGTCAGTCCCCAAATCACATAGTATTGGGCTCAGTAGCAGCCCTCCAAGTGGTCCTTACAGCCACAGTACAGCATGCCACAGCTCTCCTTCTTAGGTCTTCCTGCCCTGTTCTAGTATATACTCAACCACTCCCCTGTTTGTGTGGCTGGTGTTGGCATTGCAGTCGACTACACATGCCTTTCAGAGCTTCATTCACACACATCCTGCTCCTGAGACACGGCATTAATACCCTGGCATCCACTCTCCTAGCCTCACTTCCAGTGCAAATCAGTGACTGAGAGAGAGACAGAGAGAGACTTGTAGGAACAGTTTGTAGTGAGAGAGACTCTGAAGCTGCTATAGAGGGCTAGAGATACGTAGAATACTGAGTAAAGACCACCTGTTGAGTGACTACGTATATAGTGCCTTTTGAGACAAGTTAAGAACTCTGTGGAAGTGTGAAGGTGGTGGGTGTGCTCCTCTGGACCTGGTATCACCTGACATCTGAGAGACACGTAATATATGAACATACGTAGTTTCTGGGACCTGATGTTAATAGTGGAAGATTGAGGATCTGAGGTGTGTGTCTGGAGTGAGTGAGAAACGTACACGTGATCCACTGAGAGAGTGTACGTAGCTCCTACTGCCATTGTGATACAAACGTTAAAGACAGATCTACTACGTGTAGCAACTGGGCAGCTACAACAGACCTGTACACCACTGGCCAACTAGTCGGGTGTTGTGTGTATAGGGTGGACATGAATCACAGCAGAGCTAGGAGACCTGGTGGTGGAGGTGGTGGGAAACTGGTGGCAGAGCCTCCTGTCAAGTGGGTCAAGGTACGCCATATGTCAGTATATAGAGGTGTAGACCTTGTTAGGTGTTAAAGGCCATCATTAGCACCAGTGTCTTAATGTGAGTTACTAGCTATATGAACATTATGTCATACCAAAATGTGACAGTCTCAAATGCAGCTGATTAGCTGTTATGCACAAGAGATCTTCACTTTTATTAGCCACTGGATTCCCCCCAAGGTTTGCACATGGTACCGTCACTTGGTAACATGCAATGCATTGCCTATCCTGCCACATGCACTGTCGTAGTTTAGAGTCATGGACCAAATACACACGTGTACATATGTGCTTTTTTACATACGTATGTAAGGCTAGCTGCTTTCACTCACAATTGGCTACATAAGTACTTTTCATTAGTCGAGATTGAAGATCATTGATGAAGGTGGACTTTTATACACGTAGATAGAGCACCATACCATTAGGAAGGGATATATATACCTGGACAAGTAGAGGTGTAGTGACTACATGGCTATGATAGGATTTGATTGTTCCCAGAGCCAATATAGTGGATTTCATTGATGTACAGTGGACTTACTCTATCGTCTTGGAACAGAATTTGATGCTAATCAGCATTAAATCTGACATACGCATTATTTTTTCTGCTGCTGCCAGTATAATGCATCATGAAGGACTGGGGGGTGGGTATAAATATAAGGTCCTTTGTCCCTTCCTTGCCATATCAGTCGAGTTTCAGTATTTTGCCAGTATTTCGCGAGAGGCAGTATTTCGTGAGTAGCGTGATGGCCCATCTGCTGATACAGAACGGAGGGAAGCATGTGCGCATGTTTGAGGTATACTGACAATAGTTACGGGGTCACAGCGAGCATGGTTATTATTCTTTCTAGAAGGTTGCTTTGACTATTGTTATCATTCATGGTGTGTTGTTGTGGCTCACTGTCTTATCCCTCGTAATTACAACTCAGTAGTATGTATGCCTACTTCTGTAGTCTCCCTGACTCCTTCCTCTATTTGTCATGTCCCCTCATCTACGTTTGTCCCTGCCTCACTGGCACAGGATAGTGTGGCTCTATAGGGTGCATACGTATTACTATGCTCACATTCTAGCGAATGTGTTTTTTATAACTATCTCTCCTGATGAGTATATGTGTGGCTAGGTTATGTGGGTCGTTACTTCCTGTTTCTATTGTCTGGTCTAATCCCTAGCCCTGTTCCTCCAAGTCATTTACCCATACTGCTCTCTTCTCCCCTTTCCTTCTCCTCCCCTCCCTCCCCTCCCTCTCCACCCTCCCTCTCCACCCCATCCCAGAGCACTTCAGCGGGGACTCCACTGACAGAGAATGGAAACACCAGATGGGACAGGCTCCTCCACAAGATGGAGTTCTTTACCATCGACCTCGTCAAAGGTCAGTGTCTCTCTTAGCTCCATCCAACAACCCCACCCACACACATACACACACACACCATCTCTAGTAGCTAGGTTTGTAGGTCCTACATGGTCCTACATAGGTCTCCTCCCTTTCTCTCACCAGAGATGTACACAGTATTACTAAAGTAATATTCTGCACAGGGTTCTCTAGTTGTTAGGTTTTCTGTGGTTCATATGTACTGTACGTGGTACAGTGTACTGTGGTGGCCTTCAAAAACCTGCTAATGAGAATGCTAGTGTACATACTTTACAGCTTGTGTACTCACAATTATACAAAAAGAACTTTTGTTATGAAATTCCCATAAGAAATGTTTGTTCAGACGGATTAAACTTTTGATGAAAAAACGTGTGCACGAATGTCACACCACTTCTGGTTAATTCTTCCTAATTGTGAACACTTGAGGCCTATAGCCAAACCATCCTTCCCACACCTGCCAAAAATACACATACACTAGCAGTGTTCTATAGTGGAGGTATATACACGTATAGGGAAGGAAGAGGTGGGAAGGGGAAAAGAGGAGGGAGAAGGAAGAAATGAGTGGTTAGAGGGAGAAAGTTTTACAGGGACTTTGCATGCATGCATACATACATACATACATAGGTTGGTTGTTATTCTTATTTTATTCCTAAAGTAAAGAAGTATGTTGATTACAAATGCATCATTGTTAGACTTTCTTCTTTTGAATGTGGAGTCTAAACGAGTTATGTAGGAATGTGTGCATATCTGAAGCTGCAGTTGTGCACCAACACATGATGAAACACATGTCCATATGACACATACATAGCTACTGTACGTACTACCAGGCTGACGCATCATTGTTTACGGAATATTTTTTGTATGTGCTACTCCAATTACAGCCCCCTACACTGCCATGTAATGCTACGTACGTATATGCATATTCATGTCCGCACGTCTTTGAAGTGTTGTATATAGTAGCATGAGATTCTGTGTATGTGTGTGACAGCTCGGCTCTGATGGATGTTGTGTGTGTGTGAGTGTCACTGTACATGGACCAGCAGTCATCGTGCGTGTTTTTCTAATGGCCTCTTACAGAGTGGGAACAGACTATACCCATCAGTGGCTACTTTCAATACTTTAGCCACTTTATGAGCACATCTATGTATCTGCAGCCACTTTACATACATACAGTCTATTAATGCCCACATTCCATACAGCCACTTTTTCTCAACATTGACGTCTGCATTACATATTTACATGTAATGGGCATGCTGTACAGCACACGCCCCCTGAAATGAGGACACCTCTCGAATAAGGACACCTTTTATCTCCCTAAGAACCGTTATTGTGTCTGAAATAAGGACACATCGCTAATGACGACACTTAATTGGTGTCCTGGTTAGAGGTGCTCAAGTGTGTATATAGCTGTGGTAAAATAAATTTGTAATGTGTAGTTCGTTCTTGGGGTGCTTCCTGGTAATGAGTCTGTCCAGGATTTAGTAGGAAGGTTCCCATGGACCTATGGCTGGTATGCTATGAACTATAATTTCATGGCTAGCCAGTACCTACATGACATCCTGTAAACAGGTGATTGTGGCCTCACTCACTGGACAAGGGCTAAGGCACTATTATTATTGAAGACCTTGTGTACTGTGCGGGGCTTTATGCTACAGTACAATTTCACAAACACTAGACTCTCTTATTTCATTGTTATGTATGCTTCATTTGTTACTGTAACAAATGCAACACATGTTTGGCGAGCGAGTGCGGGAGTCACATGCATGCAGCGTCGATGGTTCTGATAACGGCAGTGCCGAAAGCAATCCCTCATTCAGACGACTAAGTGTAGGGCTGCTTCATCCATCGCCCTCTCTATCTTGTCTAAGAATTGAGTGACGTTTCACTGCCCACACTTGCATCAGATGACTTCAAAATAATTGATATGACGTCCGTACACAAGTAAAAGAAATTTGACCCCAAACGTCAACACCCAACCAAAACGTGCACACATCTGCAGCGATAGCTATCCATGCTCGCACTTTGTACTCATACACATGTACGTTGGACAATGGAACCCCTCTCTAAGGCAACCCCTGAAATGACGACACATCAAGACTATGTTCCTTGTAAGCAATTACACTCCTGAATAAGGACACCTGACTTTACTGCTTCTGTCCTATAGCTGCCCATATTTGGAGGGAGCAGTCTTCTCATGTGTATGTGTAGGTCCATGTAAGGAGGTAAAGCTGGGTACAGGTATGCACTGACTAACCTAGCTCAGCTCTAGGAGTCGACCCCCTGCTACCTGAGAAGGCAGTAAGAAACCCACCATTGTTTAGAAATGCTGCATGCCCCTGGGTCATGCAAGTGACCTTACTAGACCAGAGGCAGTGGTGTATATATCGCCGTGTGCCTGTGAGGGTGCTCTACCTGCATTTCTGTGGCTGGCTGGGTTGTCAGGGTCTCCCGAGTGGTTACAATGTCTCTTGTTTTGTTGTAGTGTATCTGATGGTGTCTTTGTTGACTGGAGGGAAACACCACAGGGTGTGTATGTAGGACAGCTATTGTTGGCTAATTCCTCCCCTTTGTCTCCTCCTACAGACTACTGTACTAGGATAGCATTCAGCCTGTAACACTTAGCCTCGTTCCCAGACCTTCCCTGCTGCGTACATATGACTGTGTTAGGCGACATGATCAATGTATATGCATACATGTGGGCAACTGTCTCACGTGTGAGAAAATCATGCTGTGTACTATGCTCATAGGGAAAACATGCAGGGAGAGAGGGTCTAGCTCTGAGTAGATCAGAGAGGAGAGAACAGCATGTGTTTGTAACTAGCACAAACAAGTTGACAAGTCGAGAGGAGAGACAGCAAGAAAGGAGTCCCACACGAAAACGAGTGAAGAAAATACACGTTACTACTGTGAACAGAAAGTGGTTCAGTCGTAAACATAAACGTAGCTGGACGAAGCGATCACCTCGGTGAGGATAGAGGCACGCGAAGAGAGATAGGAGGAGGAGCGGAGAGCGAGAGGGGAGGGGCGGAGCGAGAAAAAAGAAGAGAGGGATGAGCGACACGACGCATCGCAGCCACTAGGTTCAAGACATCAGGTACACAAACTCACGCGCACCCAAACCACTCACACTTACTCGCTGCCTGCATCTCGCCTGCTCTCTCCCATCTACTCTAAATCTCACACCACACTCCATGTCTCACCTCATCTCTCATTCTCCCAGATGGTGATCGCAGTCTGGGATATTGGTGCTAGTGAGGGGAGAACGTAAGAAAGTAAGAAGAAATAAAGAGGCCAGTGTACAGTTGGAAGGCATCTTCATACAGAAGATCCTCCCTGGCTCTCTCACTGACAAGGATGGCAGGTGAGCAAGTGACTAGCATTCAACTTGTCATGCCTGCGTCCACCCAAACAACATCAAGCCTCTCGACATGAATTAACAGTAGACACCATGAGAATGATAACAGACGGAAGGAAAAGCACACGGGTACTTTGTGTAGCTGGCGCTACACGCTGACCTTGAGACATAGATACTTAGTGCAACGTATGACCATGACCACTACTCCATCTCGGGAGAGAGGAAAGAAGCAAGAGAAAGCAGAGTAGCTCGCCAGAAGCGCAAGCAGAGAAAGAAGAGACAGCACAGGGAGGACAGAGAAGAATAGCTCGAGGAACAGCGCGAGAAGAAGAGGAAGTGAAGAAGATGAAAGGAAAATGCACGTCAGCGGCAGAGGAAAGAACGGCGAGAAACGACAGGACAGCATAAGAAGAGCAGTCAGTCAGGATCCTATCACCTCCAGCACTCACTACATCCATCTCGCCGTACCTACTCCTCCTCCTTCCTGTCGCACCCTGCCCCACACCTCGCCCTCTGACCCAAGGATCCCGGCAGGAGACATGTGGAGACATGTGGTGGAAATCAACTCGGGGTCAATGTGGGGCTACTGTTGAAACAGCCTCCAAGAAAACTCAGAGATCCAGAGAGAGCGTCAAGTGAAGAGCCCACCCCGGTCACATACACATCTTGATCCTCGTTTGTCGCACTCATTTTCTGTTGTGCCTTAAACAGGTGTCTGTGCTCTGACCATTCAAGTGATTAGCTCGGCAGAGTTGTGATGTAAATTTATTTAAGTTACAGACATGTATGTACGTATATACACCCAGGCTAAAGCTAGTGGACACATTGACTGTGAACACTGGTGCGCCCCACACGCCTTGCCAGCTGGCTCTAGGAAGGAGGATGAACAGTTAGAGGACTGATGGAAAGTAACTATCCAGTACTTCCTTTTTATGTACATGCTATACCTTACACACACTGTCTCTCCTTTTACACTACATGAGGAACTACTAATGGAAATGATACATGAGGACTATGTGGTTCATTGATCTCAGTCATTTAGCCTCTCTCTGGAAAGGAGTAGGATTGGTACATAGATCACCGCCATCGACCCATATTATCATCAGGGAATTCACTGGGTCCAGTTTTGCCTTGGATGGTGCATAGGCATGAAAGGGTGTACTTGCCAGATAATCCTGGATTTACAAGAGGAATTGTGTGGTGTTATTTGTATGATTTATGCAGCTACGCATTGATACAGGTGTCGGGAACTGTTGATCATGTCATGTACAGGTTTGTAACTCACATTCCAACACCCATGCCCTGCTTGGACAGTTACATACGTCTGTGATACTGATGTATGTGTAGAGTGCAGAGCACATTTTCGAATGTCTCTCTGCACTGTCCGTGTCTTTTGTATAGCAACACAGGTTCTTGTACATACGTAGGTATATCTAGGCTGCTAGACGATGCTTGCTGAGGTTCAACGACAGTAGAAGCAAGAGTTGTCTTTTATTGAGAGGGACAACGGAGCACGTGAGATAGGGATTTGCAGAGATTTGAATTGTCCTCTTTGGCGGGTGAACAGTATGTATTGCATCACTATTTCTATAGCATACCTATACCATGGTCACACAGTACTTATACGTAACTGACACGGTGTATTTGTGAACTACAATACGTGACATATTATCAGTCCTACATGGGTAGTACACGGAGGATATACATATATGGTAAAGGAGCATTTGTAATCTCTCTACACATTACACAGTACACTGACTGCTGACTCGTCCCCTGTCCACTACTGATCACTCACATGACTCGTGCTGTGTTACAAGACTCAAGGTTGGCATAGCAGACCTGCACAGAGGAGGCTTCAGGTCCTGGAGAGGACTCTGCTGTAAGGCCCACCTCACAGTAGCGGTACACTGTACATGCGTAATACTCTCTGTACCATCATGGTACTTATTGTCTGTTCTGTAATTTCGCTGTCAGCGTTGTGCGTGTGCTGGCTAGGTGTGTGATGCTTCTTTAGAGTATCTACACATTGCGGGTATTGTCGGCTTAGTTCAAGGTTTACTCATAGTGATGTAATGTAGTTTTTTTTTTTTGTTTTTTTTTTTTTTTTTTTTTTTTTTTTTTTTTTTTGTTTTTTTTTTTTTTGTTTTTTTTTTTTTTTTTTTCAGGTTATAATTAAAGGCACTGAAGTGCAAATACCGCTCGGGCAGTGATGACAGTGAACACACGCACAATTATGTAAAGTAATGGGTGGGGCAATGGTATCAACCAGGTCTGGTAGAATTGTTGTACTTACTGGTGCTGTATTTTGGTTCATAGATAAGATTATCTTTCCTCCCAAGTCCTAACCTTAGTGAGCTACAATTCAAAGCCTTAGTTGTAGGCATACTTTACTGAACTCAACGTATTCCAGTCTAGTCACAAGAAAACAATGAGGGAAAACAAAATGGCTGTTGCTGCACTGGTTTTGTTCCCAATTCAGCATGCGGGCCGCTTTGGCCCTCGGAGTGCGTGCGTTTTTGGGTATCACAGCTATTTTTTGGGCGCTGGGGTTTTTGTTCAAAATGCCGCCCTTGCCGTACCGTTTTGTCGAACAGGGGAAAACGCTCTTTTTAGCTTTTTTTCTGCAACGGAGCAGTTTTCAGAGAAAATCCACATATTTTGTGACCTCCGTCGGTCCTGCTGTGGGTATGTAAACCCGGTTTTTGGACGCAATTATGACTGGAGGTAAGTCAGTTCTCACTTACTGCAGATATGAATGACACATAACGACAACTATATGTACCCTCGTGCGCTATTGCTGCGCCGGGGAGGTGTTAATAATACGGCTTGTTGAAACAACTGTTCAGTGTCAGTGCTTGTCTATCAGTAGAAGCTTGTTTATAATGTTTTGGAAATATTGTTAGCCAACTTAAGAGAACTGACATTCTTTTTATTTATTTGGGGGCTCTATTTGTATTTATTGGTTTGTATGTTAAGGAGCCTACCTACATAGCAGTCTTTAGTTGGCAGTTTTCTCTTTTTATGTAATGACTGGATTGAGCTGTGCCATACGACAGAGAGCATGTGGAAAAACCCACATTACATATAAAATGCCAACACGTGAAGCTTGTAGGTGGATAGTGTATACATTCAGGTGTAACCTACTACAAACGCATGTTCTGTGTTACATTCCAGGAGCCAATCTATTGTGAACAGTGACGATATTTGATGACATGGAGGACTCTGAGCTACAGACGAGATTGGAGAAGACAGAGGCCAGAGCCAAAAGGTATTGTAGTTTAGCGTACACTAACTGTCTCTGTGTCAGAGTCTAAGTAGAGAAGGCAGAGTTTTGAGTCGTGTAACAAGTAATGTATGAATTGCTGATGTCAGCCTTCCATGTCACTAGGATCCTTCAGTTGTGGCATTTTTGTGTATGTCTAAATTAATTTTTTTCCCCTGTTCTCGGTTTTTTTTTATTGCCTCGTTCGGCTTTCGTTTGCCCCTGCCTCTCCCTGCTTCTTCTTGGCGTTTTTTTTGTGTCTATTGGGGTGGCATATGGTCGAACCCTACGTATCGTACTGCTTCAAACTCAGGTGAAGAAAAAAGAAAGGTTTCTTTTATTTAGCAATGTGTGGGATGGCAAAACGAATTTTAACACATGCATTTACGTACTTGACTCTCTAACAAGACTAATTGCTAGCCAGAGTTGGAATAATTTTCAGCCTATGCTAACTGCTAGTACTAATCATCGGTAAGTCTCTTGTAGCTTCACAAGAGCTACTTGAAAACGATACTTCATGCTCGACTGCAACCTATACAATTTTTGATGGTATTCATAACTAGCAAAATGTCACATGTGTCACACCTCCTCTGGAAGGAGGGTGGGAGGGGGAAATACGGAGAGACGAGATGAAAGTGAAATAGAACGAGGAGAACTGATTATGTGTTGGTGTAGTTTTGAGGAATGTATAACAAGTGGCATGTACTGTAGTATGTTACTACCAGCCCTTTGCCTTGGTTTATTACTTTTCGTTTGTTAGTGAGGCTCATGGAGAACTACGCTCACCAAGCAATTAGGCTTTTGAGTGTAGTGTGACTAAATCCAGGTGAATGTAATTACCTCGTGCGCGCAGCGCGCAGCGAGGTGTTATAGTACTAGGTTTGTCATCCGTCGTCCTCCGTCTCGTCCGGAACTCCGTCTGTCGTCCTCTTCCTTCCTTCTCGTCTGCCTGTACCACGTTGTTCTCCCGCGACGCGTGACAACAATACGGCCAAAAATGTGATACCGACTGGTCATGTGCCACAGTGCTTATTAACTCTCGCCGCGCATGCGCAGCTGAGGGTACGGTAGTTGGTGTGTGTCTGTCGTTCTTGTTGTCTGTCTGTGTGTCTGTCTTGACTCGTCATCTCACTTCTCAGGTTCGTTGTTCTCCAAAGGATACCACTACTGACGGGCAATGAGGTTCAGAAATATATGTGGGGGGGTTTTCTCTGAATATCTGCTGGCTGTTTGCAGAGTCTTGGCGCGCGAAAATGCCAATATGCAAATAGACAA